TCTTGTTTTTTATTAATTTATTAAAAACGAACGCGTGTCGAAGACGCCAGCGATGCGAACGACGATGCCAACGATGCTCAGCACCTCGTAAACCTTGGCGAAATCATCATCAAGTGGCGACGTCGCTGCAGTGTTTGCTGTCATCGTTGCCTACAAATGAAATGTAAATCTTCTGCGGCCCGCACAAAAAGCGGCCGCAAAGCAACAAACGTACCAGCTGCAGCCCAGGCTGACTGAGGCAGAGGCAGAGACAGAGGCAGTGGGAGTGGGAGTGGCAGATGGCAGAGGCAACATCGATAAAAGCCGCAGTCGCGCGATTTACGTGCTCTCAAATTTAATGCGATGCGTGGCAATCGCCGTTCCATGGCCACAATGCGATGCCATCAACGCAGCTATCTGCATGCGCGCTCTCGTATTTATTTAATTCCATTTCGGTTTTCAATCAACCGATAGGTTTGCGCAGTTTTCGCCATTTATCGCTTTATAAAAGGCAAAAAGTAGCAGCTGCTGTCGTTGTCGTTGTTGTTATTGTTGTTGTTGCTGTTTCTTTTTCTCTTGCCTTTCGTTATCGTCATCATAATCATTATCATCATGGGCTAAGAACCTTTTCCATGCTGCTTTCCGCATTGTCATAATTTATACATGATGATTGCCAAAAATAAACAAAATTCTTGAAATTCTCTCTATTTAGTAAAGTCGTTCGAAAACTATTTTGCCACGCGATTTAACAACGAATTTTACTTTGATAACACAGGCGTGCATGTGTGTGTGTGCATGTGTGTGTGTGTGTGTGTGTGTTTGTAAGAAGTTTGAGGGAAATTTTAAATCAAATGTAAGCGTATTGAATTTTTCATAGCACACTTTTGTGCGCTTCGACGCTGCGCTGATCAAGGACTGCCGGATTGCTGGGGGGTGGGGTGGGGATGCAGGTTGGCTGCTGTCGTTGTCTATTTGACAGTTACCAAAGCGTCATCTAATTCCCCAGTCAGCCAGCCAAGTTTCATATGTGTGCGCGTGTGTGTGTGTGTGTCTGTGTGAGTGCTTTGATAAAAACTGAAATTAATTATTGAAAGGGCTGCTCATGTGCGTCGCGTCCCGTCGCGTCGATTCGCGCTCATTTCACCGCATGTCGTAGGCTGTTGAAAATTTAAAAGGCGTTCGAGCGAAAGCAGTTGGCACATTAGAGTACATACCCACACACACACACACGCACACACATGTAACACAACTTCCGTTTACGCTTGAAAGCTCCGAATGTATTTACTTTGTATGAGCAAAACTGTCACCATTAACCGCAGCCAGCCGAAGAAGAGTGGAGAGCAAAGAGTGAAGGGCGAAGAGACCCGCATGTGGCAAGGGCTTCCGCGCAAACAAATTAGCGTTTAATTATACATAAGCAGCAAATCCAAATAGAACTGTAAGCCCGCGAACTGGAATTATAATTAAAAGTGTGTGTGCGTGTGTGTGTGTGTGTGCATCTGACTATGTGTTGAGTGCTCGTAAAATGAACGCATCGAATCGCAGTGCCCGCAAGCCCAAAGGAAAGCAGCTCGGTCACAATGCAAACGGAAGCCAAGTCCGTGGCGCCACCGGCCAAGCCGCCGCGTCTGAAGCCCAACAATGCCGAGACGCATGTCAAGAAACAACTGCAATTCCAAAGTCCGTTGCCCGGACGGTCACGTGCAGCGGCAGCCACTGATGCTGCCTCGACGATGGCCACGAAGGCGACGAAGCCGCGGCGAACTCCAGCCAAGTCGAAGACGCCCCCAGCCAGCAGCCAGCGGGATGCGGCGGCGGATGCCAGCACGGACACGGCTGCGGATGCGACTACGGCAATAAGAAGTCGTCTCGCCGAGGGCTGCACCACCCTAATGTATGCGTGTCTGCGGGGCGACATTGTGCAGGTGCTCGCCCAGATGCGCGCCAAGGTAGGTGCAACAGCAGCAGCGGCTGCAGCTAACCCACAATTTCTAGCAGCCAAAAGTTTGAGCGCTTAGCCACATGTGTTGGGGGTTAAGCGGGAGCAATGGACCAACTTGGCCGCTCGCTCACTCACATCAGCAACGAAAACAAGCCGATGGCCAAACACTCTTGCACTCACCTCGACTGCCAATAGAGTCGCACGACTATCACAAAGTGAAAGTACCCGCAGTTGACTTGTATATATAAAAAGGGAAGATAGATCAAAAGTTAAGGAAAATCCCAGCATCATGATGTTGCCGCCTGGCATTGTCTCAGCACAAAGGCCCAAATCAGGCGAAGGCGTAACAAGATTTTAATCTTTTTGTTGTCACGATGAGCTGGCGCTAAAGTTAAAGCCAGCATGGCAATAGCCCTTCGCCTCGCCACGCCTCATCTCTCGCCTGGCTGTAGGTGTTTGGCAGCATGACAAGACTTTAAAATTTCCGTTGCAGCCATTTGGCCGCATTGTTCTCAGCTCAGAGCCTAATTGCTTCATAAACATTTCTACAACAAGCCGAACACAACAAAAGGGCCCAACTCTGGCCCTGGCCGAGCCTGCAGCCAGCCCAGCCTAGGCCCTCAGTCTCAGTCCAGGGTCGAATTAAAATGCTGTAAATGGCAGGACATTTGAAATTGACAAAATAATCCCGAGGCTTAGTTATGGCTGCGCAATTTGGCAGCCGTGTTGCCTCCGCTCCACAATACTGAATGCTGAATGGTAAATGGTAAATTGTGAATGGTAAATGGTGAATGGTAAATGGTGAATGGTGAATGGTGAATAGTCGCATGGTTCGTTTGTCATGCGCCTAAATATGCCAATTTTGCCATTTAATTGAAATTTGAAAAGTTTTTTAATTGAACGCAGATAAATTTCCAAGGCTCTCTAATGACCGTCACCAGCATCGCCGCTGTCCCGCCCAGCCACCCATCCACCCATCCGCATTGTCCTGTCGCTAGTTCTGCAATTATTATTGGGCAGCGCTTGAAGACTGTTTGTTGCCTGTGGCCTCGTAATTGATATCGACAGCGAGCTCGATGCGAATTGCTCCTCGTCTATTTCAGTTGCTCACCGAAAACTGCGAAGGCTGATGCCTGACGTCAGTCCACTCACTTATGTAATTGCCAAATGACGCCCAGCCTTGGTCTACCGAACAACTCAACTGGTTTATTTGCCTGTGAAATATAGCAAATGTTGGCAATTATGACTTTTTATCTCTTTACTATTTGCTTGGCTGTGACAGAGTTCGCATTTTATATGCGTCATAAACAACGGAGTCGCATTGAGCCTGATTTCTAATTACAGCCAAGAAAACAATAAAATCGCTTTCAAAGTTCAATGGGGCCGAAAGCCAAAATTAATAATTGGATTTGCTCTAATTTTAATTATATGCATCTTAGATATTTCCTTCTCTTTACAATGCCTATCATGGCAAAAAGTTCTTGTTATTTTGGGAATTGTGAATGTATATGTCTGTAGCAATGTTTGGTTCATAAAGACCATCAAACGATAAGCCTATTAAAATTGAGTTTTAATTCTCTATCGGATTAGTATGAAAATAAATTTCATTTCTCTTCAAGTTCATTTGGGTTGCGAAAAACT